ACAAGCCTTTCAAGCCAAAATCGAGCCAACCCCAAATTCCGACGAGCCTAATTGAGCCGGCTCGATTCGGAACACTGGCTTAATTTATGCTTCAAATTGAAAAGGCATAATAAATAAGGATCCGTATTATTTCACCGACAATCACTTCATAAACACCTCATTTCACATTTTACCGACAGTCTATTTCTCCGAAAGTTTTTTTTATAAATTACACTAACTTTAACTTTAATTCTAACCTGACCCTAATGATATTGAGCAGAATTACTTTGTCGGTGAGTTGATCGGATCCTAATAAGGATAACAAGCTATGCAATGATATTGAGCATAAATTCTTTACAATAACTTATGCAATTTAAATTAACAATTATAAAGCTTCTTTTAGTTTTACGCATTGATAGTATAACATCAAATAAGAAAGAATATGCATTGATTAAGAAAAAATCAATTTAAGTATCATTCCACCTGATTTTTTTTTTTGTTTATGATATTTGTTCCGGAATTAGGCTCGAAATTCCTGATGAAATACTCTAAAAATTTTTTCAAAAAACGTATTCGGAACAAACCATATATAAATTTCTAGTCATTTCAATAAAATCCTGATAATTTCCGGCTAAAAAAATCAAATCCGATAAGATACGGCTTCTAATTATAATGAAGTACAGAACTGAATCTTACTCGGATTTGGTTTCTACTTGATACTTGGCATTTCCCAATTTATATTGCTTATTACCTAGAATTGTAATTATCAAATGACTTATATTGTTGATTACTTTAGAACTTGCAGTTGTAAGTGGATCCGAATAATTCGGTTATTCATTTATTAATCTATTTTCCAATAATCTATTAGACGTTAAGATATCTAATAGCAATAGACAAATGGATAAATGGTTTAACTATGTTAACCTATAACTGTATTCTAACCCTAAATTATCATAATAAAAGTTATATATGGCGTTGAACACCACTGATGTGCTTTAGTATTCTTGTTTTCCCTTTTTTTCTCTCTGGGTTTTATTTGGCACGTGATATCGAAAATTCTTACCAAATTGGGTTTAACCAAATAAAAGGGTTTTCATTACTAATTAGAAATGTAGCTATCGGTCGATCCAAAATAGTTTCTCCGAACTCGGCATGATTATCCAATTAAAGAAATTTTGAAATAAAAAAACAATTCCAATAAAATTTGTAGAATGATTAATTTACTCCAAAAATAATTATTCCCCCTTAAACTCTAGTTAAAATAACGAATAAGATTTGTTACGATTGTCTTAAAAAATCACACCTTTTCTTTTAATGACCTGCAGTGAAACGCTACCGTCTATCATTATCTTCATTAAATTCTTATGTAATTCGCCTAACTTGCAGTCGGGCAGCACGTGAAATGATCACACTACTGGATGGCATTAATGATATAAATCTTTGAAATTCGGGACATTGAAAATATTTTGCTTTTTTTTTTCTTGGATATTAACAAAAAAAATGGTAAGTTTTTATACAAAAGTCGAGTATGTGGATATTTATTCAATAAAGATTATTATTTTACAAAGTGATTATTGTACAGCCTACAAATAAAGCTACAAATAGTAATGCGTATACACCCCCTCCGACCGTATCATGTCTTCCACGAACAAACCAACTTGAAGTTTTATTGACAATTATCCGAAATAAAGAAACTCATCGTGAAGACTTTATTTTTTATTCTGATAGAATAATTAGGCTCCTTGTCGAAGAAGGTTTAGAATCAATTAATTATTTTTTAAATCTTTATTTTACTATTTCTAATATGATATATTTTTTTGCATATAGGACTAAACCATTTACCCGTTGTTGAAAAGAAAATTACCACACCAACAGGTATATCAATATTATAAAGTAATTTTTTACCAAAATATTGCAAATTAACTTATGGATCTAAATTATGATACAATTTGAAATTAAATTAGATTGTTAATTTACTGGCGTTTCATTCCAGGGTAAAATATGTGGTGTGTCTATTATGAGGGCAGGTGAAGCAATGGAACAAGGGCTGCGTGATTGTTGCAGGTTTGTTAATCTGGATTAATAATTATTAAAAATAATAGTAATCTTTGTAATAGTCGATTATTCGGTAAAAAGTTTTATTGACTTTTTATATCAATTTTTTAGGAGCGTACGAATCGGAAAGATTTTGATCCAGCGTGATGAAGAAACTGCACTACCTAAGGTAACAACGATTCCTTATCTTTTTTTATATATATCAAATAATAACAAATTCTCTTAATATTATATTTTTTACATTAGCTTTATTATGCAAAATTACCTCCAGATGTCGAGAATAGATACGTATTGTTGTTAGATCCAATGCTTGGTAAGTATTTTTCATTAAAATATTAATTTGATTAAAGTTAAAATAAATTTATTTATTATACATTTTTAAATTTCATAAAGCAACTGGTGGATCAGCAATTAAGGCTGTAGAAGTGTTGTTGTCTTATGGTGTTAAAGAAGAAAAAATTTTGTTTTTGAATCTAGTTGCAGCACCTGAGGGCATTCAAGCCATCACTTCAAAGTATTCAAAACTCAAGATTTTAACTGCATACATTGACGAAGGTTTAAATGAGAAAAAGTATATTATACCTGGATTAGGTGATTTTGGTAAGTCTGTGTGAAAATTAATTTAAAACCATATAAATTTTATTTTAACCATTATTTATAATTTTAACAGGTGATAGATATTTCACATGGCCTTAAATTGAGAGTTAATTTGTCTGTTTTCATTAATTTATAATTGTGAAAGTTTTATTTCATTCTAACTATTACATAATATATTTAAATATTGAATTTTGCCAATTTACTACAAAAAATTTTTTAAATACCTTAAATAACAGAATAAGTTCTAAGGTAATCAACAATATAAATTTGAAATTTTATTTTCACTCGAATAATAAAAGAATTTTACTGATTATCATAGAATTTGTAATTGTCAAATTATTTATTTTATTATTATCTTAGAATTTAAAATTGTCAAATGATTTATTTTTTTTTGATTATTTTGTTGATTATTTTAGAATTTGTAATTGTCAAGTGAATTTGAATAATTTATCAAATTATTCGGTTATCCAATTATCTATTAGATTTCGAATACCTAAAAGACAAATGGATTATGGATTGGAACACTATACCTGGCCAGATTGCGGCCAACCGAATATACATGATAGTTGGTGTATGCCTCGAAATGCTAAATGTTTCTGCCAGAATTTTCCAAATTGGACAAGTGATGATGAACATGTCAATAAATTTATTCAACGACATCTTGTAATGGATCCCACATGAAAATTTGAAAAATGCTACTTACTGATGGTGGATTTACCACCGTATGTAAAGCTTGGCCTGTCCGTAACATTAAAAATTAGATCATAAAAAATAAATGATTGAGTACCATTATATTGATTACAATATAATACACTTAGAATTCACTCATCCTTCAGTTGTTTGAATGAAATTAAAGAAAACATCTGTTTCTATTTCTTAGAAAAAGGCAAAAAGTTTTTTAATAAAGAAAATTCAGAATGATTTAAAAACAAAAAGGTTTAACAGTATTAGATCCTTTATCTATTTCTTTTATCCAAATACGTTCTATGCATGTAGTAGTAATTTACTGAATCAATTCTCTTAAAATTCCGAAAATATTCATCAAACGTTAACACATTAAAAACCTGTTACACAAGCGACTTCAAGTATTTTATTAATGGTAAATTTAGAAATTAAATTAAAATTCGGTCACTAAAACCTAAGCAATCTATCCCCAAATTTAAATTTTAGTTACCAAAATTAACATATTAATCGATTAATGCTAAACTGAAGAAATTTTTGGACCTCAGATCTAGATTGATAACGCAACAACCCATCCTCTCCACTTCGACGCATCTTATTAGGCATAGAAATATTAAAATGACGCATCCTAACTTGAGAACATTGACTATCTCAGGTAAAAAATCGATATTTATATATTGTCGCATAATTTTTGAAGACCCTATGTACCTAGTAAAAGGTATGCGAATAGATGAGAAATTGTTAAATGATGTAAAGGTTGAACGAAAATATGGATAAAACGGCTCACGTGATCATGTGATCGATCGGAGTCGTGGAGGTAAATCGAAGTGTGGGGCGGCATTCATAGGCAGATATTCGTATGATTAGCGGTTTAAATCAATTTAATTTTACATTATTTATACAGTTTAAAGTACTTTTCAAAAAAAAGAAAACTACGAAGAATAAACAAAAAAAGAAGCATATAGAAAGTTTTATTAGCGTTGTAGGACTCCACTATTAAAAATAATCAAAATTCTTTTTTGTTT